CTATTTCTTTTATATGTTGTTTAATGCAACGAATTAATTGCGCAGTCTTTATTTGTTTATCACAAAAATTATATAAAATTGGAATTTTCCGGGCAGAATTTAATCCCCGTATCATAAAAACTAAAACATGATCCACGATTTTTCCCGAGCGATTTAACCCCAATCTTCAAGACCATATATATTACATTTTTTCGAACATTATATGTATTTAGGTTGTATAGATATCTCATCCCATATAAAAATGCACACCTTTTCTTTTATTGACATATTTTGAGCCATATTTTTTTTAATGTTTCGACATAAAAAGATTTAATCCGGAGGGTAGAGGTATCTTATGCAACACTAATTGCAATGTTTGTATTGACGGAATTTCTTGAAAAATATTTCTTAAACTGTTGTATGTACTGCTTTCCCATTGTATTATACATCATTAGAATGATGTATAAAACATCATTAGAATCATGAGAATGTCTTTTGTTTGGCATTATACTGTTGTCCCTGGAAAGTATCAAACATTATTATTATTTTATTAAAACAAACAACTTGTAACTGCAAATCTAAAATTACAACAAAAAAACTAAATAAAAAATAATACAAATATACTATTTCACAATATACATGCATATTCATTCTATTAGGTGTTGGAATTAATTCGTAGCGTTTTACAAGTGATGGGAAGTACTTTCATTAATGTATTTTTTAATGCTCATGTGAAATAAATAACATTCTTTCATTAAAAAACGCTACGAATTAATTCCAACACCTAATACAATAAATAATATACGATTAATAAATATTAATAAGTCTCTATATTACATTGTTAAATAATATACGTATAGGCTACTTTGACAAAGCGTTATAATTATCTCTATATTATTCACTCCATGCATTATTATAGAATGAGACATTTCTAATAATTTTTATATTTCTAATTACATATTTTTAATTAATATCTATAATTATTTTAATATTTACATCTTTAATGGCTTGTAAAACAAAATAAAGGATATCAAAATGTTAAAGCAAATATACATAATTAGAAATGTTTATACCATACGTTAAAAATAATAATCTATATTTTTAAAAAACGCTAAAAGATTAAGCATCAAATAAATAAAATTATGTACTTTGACCCATCATAAAATATAGACATTGTTTTATAACATGCATATATATACATATATATAAAGAAATTTATAAAAAGACATTTTTAAAAAGACATTTATTTACGTACATGTTTTTATACATAATACTAGAAAGAGGGCACATAACTGTGAAAATATAGAATTAAATGCAGTTAGAAGAAAAGTATACATTTGTTAAAGGATGCAAAAATATACACAAAAGTACATTTATGTGGCAAAGTATATAAAATAAATTCTTGACCAAAAATGTGTATTATCTAAACAGCATTTATGTAACCAAATTAATATATTAGGTGTTGGAATTAATTCGTAGCGTTTTACAAGTGATGGGAAGTACTTTCATTAATGTATTTTTTAATGCTCATGTGAAATAAATAACATTCTTTCATTAAAAAACGCTACGAATTAATTCCAACACCTAATAATTATCTTAAAAATGTATTCAGAACATTTTAAAAATATCTTACATACTATAACATACACACTATTGGGATAAAATTTAAATGCATACTTTACATATATTCATACGTATGTACATATTCCGTTGTATGTTCATTGACACTATACGTCATCTAAAATATTAATTTTTCTCTTGTATCATGATTATGTTTCATTATCATAATTCATAAAATATATGTCATAAAATTTATTTCATGAATTATACTTGAATTCTGAGTTGTAAAATTTTGACAGCTTAAAATAATCTTGATCTAAAATCCTTTAAATTATAAAACTGATGACATATTAGTCATATAATAAACAGAGAACTGAAAATAATTTGAAAAACTTGTCATATTTTAATATATGATATTAAATCATAAAACATAATAATTCATTATAAAATAATCATTAAGTCATTGTCATGTATTCATGTAGTTGGTATAATTTATATGTATATACATGTCCTGTATATAAGACATGATACTTTATGCTAAAACAAACAACTTTTTTTAAGATATTTTTAAAACAAACAACTTTTTTCTGTAACAAAATTCCGATAAGTAGCTTTTACAGAAGAGCAGGTTGAAGTTAACAAATAAAAGTAAAAGTTATTTATCAGACGCAATTTTGGTAAAGGAAAAAGTTATTTTTTTTAACATAAAGTATCACGTCTTGTACTCCGTATGCAGAAATTTAGAAACACTCTGTATATTCATACATTCCCATACATACAAACATGTAATATTCTAATTAACAGTATAAAATAATAATGTCACTATATATACCTTAATATATATATAAAACGTAAATAAGAAACAAATTTATAAAATAAAAATAAATAATGAGGCAAAATATAATAAAAAAGGAAATAAAATTTAGCACAAAATATATAACAATTACAATGTTGAGCCCAATCTACAAAATAATTCATAATTTTAAATTATTTATTACAATTATTAATATTAGTTATTACTACTACAAAGCGTTAGTAACTTAATTATTAATTAATATATGTTTTGAATATAAGTATTGCAAAAAGTATAATACTGTAAAAAACATTTATTTAGTCAATGTAAAAAGTTTATTATTTTCTAATTAAGATTTTTATAATTATTAAATACTATAAAGGGATAATATAAAATTCTTTATTAAAAGAAATTATTTTCTTTGCATTTCTTATAATTTTAACTGAATTACATAAAGAATGAGAAAAACTATAGCAATAATACCTTTATACTTTATCAGTTGTTAGTTAAACAATTAATTACCAATAAATAATTATTTATCTGTTCACAATCCAATCTTCTTGCTCTTTTATTTTTTGCAAACTTCATATTTCCCCGTAAATAAAAAAAACAAAGTATATACCGATGAATTATTTATTTAATTAATGTATCAGTTATAAATTTCATATGTTGAATATGAGATGTAATTTAATTGTCTACATATTTTTGACTAAACTTGATTGAAAACAAAAATATTTATATGCTTATATTGCGCTTTTTATTTAGTTTATTAAATCGATTTTAATCAAATACCACTAAACCAGTTACATATATTATTATTAATTATGAATTTTATATATATTCTTTGTTATATTGACTGTAATAGTAGTCATTAGTAACCAGTGCAACATTCAACATTAATAATCACATTATACAATTGTTTACTATTTAATATAATAAATAAATCGGTATAAACTAAGGCAATAATAAAAAGTTATGAAAAGTATACCTCTGGTTTACGTTTTAAATTTATTTTGATCATATCTAAAAAGATTCTTTGTACAGATGAGAAATCTGATGTTACTATTTTCCACTTGTTTTTCTTTCATAATTCATTAATTTGTGTTTACGTTGCTTGCAGATTTGAATGCTTTTTTTATATAATAGTTTTTTAACTTGTCTCAATTTTTGTCTGCATATTTGAGTCGAAAGTGATGATTGTATATTGATTGTATACTTGCTTGCATTTGGGTATTGGCATTACACAACAGGATGATGAATATTTAAATTTTCAAAATTTATAAAAATAATACTAGTACCAGCTCTATCTTGTACAGTCACTATTGATAATAATTGCAAAGTTGAATTTTACTGAATATTTATATCTTCTACATTTGAACTAATCGTAGTACTAATATTAGCTCTATCTTGTTCAATTACAATGATTGCAAAGTTGAATTATGTTGAATATCTATATCTTCTGCATTTGAAATAATAGTACTAGTACTAGCTCTGTCTTGTTCATTTATTATGGATGGTAATTGCAAAGTTGAAAGCCCAATCTTTCAAATTTCGTCGTGCTGCATAGCATGAATAAAACAATCATTAGCAAAATGTAATGTACAAATCCGGCCTCAAGTTATTTAATGTTTATGAGGATGCATCTATAATATAGAAAGATATATTTGTAAATTTATATTAATATTTATAAATTAATGGTGTACAATCAATACCATCCAAGATTTATAATTATATAGACTAATACGTTGTTTTGACTTGCGTATTCATGTTGATTACTATCATATATATTCTTTTTCCAATAAAAAAAAGGAATGTAATAGATATAAATTTCAATGCATACATATGAAGTCAGTATCCAGAATTATAAATCTTGAACAATAATATTCCACGCAATATATTAGGTGTTGGAATTAATTCGTAGCGTTTTACAAGTGATGGGAAGTACTTTCATTAATGTATTTTTTAATGCTCATGTGAAATAAATAACATTCTTTCATTAAAAAACGCTACGAATTAATTCCAACACCTAATATATTGCGTGGAATATTATTGTTCAAGATTTATAATTCTGGATACTGACGCTTTTTGTGAATTTTTGGGAAATTTATGTAACGGAATAGATCTCATATCAGAGTTGCTGAGGCACACAGCACTTCCGTACCATCTTAACCTATTTATTTAACAAAAACTGACAACTGATTTTATTATTATTTGAACTCCTGTAAACTATAAAATTTTTAATTATAAATAAAAAATTAAAAAACGGAATAAAAATAAAAGATATAAGAATAGAATAGAAAAATAAAATAAGAGAATGGAATAAGAGAATAGAATAGAACTGAATAAAATAAAAGAATAAGAGAATAGAATAAAAGAATATATAAAAAATAGGAGAATAAAACAAAACAAAGTAAATATAAATTAAAAATATATAAAAATAAATAGAAAGTAAATAGAAAGTAAAAATATATAAAAATAACAAATAGAAATACATAGAGATGACAAATAGGAATACTGATTGTGAGAAATAAGAAAATATTATCTAAAAAACTTATCCCTTCCTAAAAACGTAAGATTCAATCTTCACGATACTTCACAACACTTTACAACACTTCACAAACAAAATGAATAAAATTGAAACCAACTGAAACTCGTTACCGTACATTTCGTAAGCATTCGTTGATATTCGTAAACATTCGTTGACACAATCCATGGTGGGAGAATATGATGCTGCCGCCTGGACTGTGTATTGGAACTACGACAACTTCCGTCCCCACTGAAATATACGGAGTTTGTACCCGCGGACACGAACTATCGCTGTCTCTCGAAACGTGGAAGAGCCTCTACGAGCAACGATGTAATATTTACAAGATGTAATATTTTCAAAAAGAATATACAAGGATAATTTTATAAACGTTGAACCGCTAATTATCAGAGTTTGTACACTGAACAATGCTACGCTCGTACGTCTCGATTCTTTATCCGTACGCATGACGATGACCGAAACGACGCTACGCGTATATTTGAGTTTCAGATGTATCGATATAATGTTCGAACGATTCCGACTCGTCGATATGGTCGATGTCAAATATACATGATTCTCCAACATCGTGCCTGAAGATGCTATACGCGTATAGCGATATCTTCAATGGACATCAGCTCATCGATTGTGAGGTATTAGCTTTAGTTTTAAATACGTATGAAAAAAAACGATATAATAACATGTGAATAAAAAATATTTCGTTCACATCATTACAGGGTTGGCCATATTCGACGGAAAGACTTTGAACCCTATTAAATGATTTTTAAAATGAACAGCAAAAAATGTGTTTTTTTCCCATGATTGAAAAAAAAACATCTTTCCGTCGAATATGGCCAACCCTGTATATGTACTTTCTTTATTTCCCATCCGACTTGTCCTATGTCATATGTACCTCCATAATAAAAAAAAAAGAATGAATAACAAATATGAAAATAAACGTGCGCGATTCGGAGGTTAAAATTGATCTTTTTATTTTATATAATTATGCGCATTACTTGGCAACGTCGCAATGCATCGTAATAATCTTTAATATTGGTATCGTTATGTGTACTATTTGGCAATGTCGTAATTGTATCAAAATTACATTAATGATATACATGTCGTGAAATGTCAAATAGGTGCGAAAAGAAAAAAGGGAGATAGGAGAAGACAGCAACGCATCGAGAGAAAGATGGTAAGTATATCAGATAACGAGCACAATGGCGCCGCGACGCATTTTGGATGGGCGCGGAATTCGCGACGGCGATGGCGGCGGTGGCGGTGATGGCGGGAGGAGGCGACGGCATGATACATGACGTCACAACATGGCGGCATGTATCATTAGTACTGATGTTTACGTAAACACCAATAACGCCGGGACCTTCTCGTGTCTTCCCCTCTCTTTCCCGCGCCTACGAGAACCTCTAACGCCTTTCCCCCTCGCGCCGCACGCACCCCTCTAATTTAGAACCCGTTATACTATACTACTAATATGCTATTTCACACAATCAAAAGATAATATCAATAGCCCGTAGGAAATATCACTAATAAACAAGAATAATTTAAATGATTAAATATATATTTAAAGATACACCAATAATTTAAATGATTAAATATATATTTAAAGATAAACCAATTTTTACTCCAGTCTATACCTACGAAATATTACCTATTCAGATACAAAACAAGACATCCCTAAAGAATTACATAACTTAAAAATCGGCGATTATAAAGATATTACTAAAACTTTAAAACGTATTCAATATTATTCATGGGACAGCATGAAATAGAATGTTACAAATTTTGTCAAAGCTTATGATTGCCAAAACCGAAAATTATTTCACGAAAAAACAAAAGCTCCGATGCTACAATCCGATATTACAAATACACCAAACGAAGCGTTTAAAAAGTTACAATAGATATTGTAGCTCCGTACGCACGCACGCACGCACGCACGCACATAAATTTTGTTAAATCTAGAAGGATCTTCAATTTAAGGGAGAAGGTGTGACTTTTGTTAACGTCACGTTTTTAACATAAAGTTTTTTTATACATTTTTTCCTAAACATTTCTGATAAATCTTGTTTCCTGCTACTTTTCTTATTTGCTTTCTCCTGTCATTTTTACTTCTTTTTTATATCTACCCTCCAGATCTGTCTCGAATATTTAGTCTTACAGATATCTTATGACTCATCTCTAAACGGATTCGTGAGTCATCGACAATCACATATCTCAGTCACATATCTCATTTCTTTCATCCCCATCACATATATTTTTGATATTCGAAAATGTCATGTTATTGATTAAAACTTATCGGAACCTCCATCTCTTTTATCGTAATGAAGATTCCTCTGGAGTCAGCCTGTTCTCATAAGCTGCTAATAACATCTCAGACTTAGTCTGTCTCGTAAGCTGCGAATAACACATCTCCAACTTTGTTTATAAGCATGCCTGTATCACCGTTGAATAAAGTTCGGTCAGAAGACAGTTGTCGAATCTTTTTAATATTTTACATATTACAGTACGTTTTGCTCGTAACAATACGCGGAAAGAAAATAAATATAGATAGACGTAGATTAAAACCTTGTATTCACGATGCTAGAAATCAGTTCGAGATTTCGGACCGAGAAAGAATTAACAAATCAATTTAAACAATTTGATAACATAACCAATGCGATTGATCAATTCTTTCTTCATCCGAGGTCTCAGACTGATTAGCATCATGGACATAAAGCTAAATGACGATGCTGCTAAATATCGTTGTTCCCCTCCACTCTTTACCACTCTCTTCTTTCGCCGTCATAATCATAAAAAAAAATCGAACTTTGCGTTCTTTATTTAAATCGGAACTTACGTTCTTAACTAAATGATCAAAAATTATGACCTTTTTACAATGTCTTTTATAACATTTCATGTTCCTCCATCGCATGATCGTTTTTTGTAACAATCTAATTCTAAGAATGATATAGATGCTATAATTAAAAAAGACTTTAACTTGAGCGTATATGTATCATATGTTAAAACTGCACGTTTGCGATTATCTCAAAAACTAATAGTCAATATGTTTCACACAAACATAAAGATCATTTCAACTTACTGATATTTAAATTTTAGCACATTCGAAGAAAATCATTTCATGCTAGTACGTATACCTTAACACTGAACATACTTATATATCTGTCAAAGAAGACGAGAATGAAGACGAAGATGGTAACGTAAATTAGTGCTAGAATTTATTTGCAATTTTCAGCCGATTTTCAATTTAGTTCCCGTCCATTACCTCATACCGACCATCAAACATGATCAGTATTTAGACTGCGCATGAGGTAAGAGCTGACAAACTGCAAATAAATTCTAGCACTGACGTAAACCAACAGTAGAGCGATATTTTCTGCAGTGTCATAATGATAAATTGTCCTATGCAATATTGCAATTAGATTGGTCTAACGAAGTTTGTCCTAACGAAAATCAAATTGTATTTTTCACATGTACCAACTGTGTGTAACTGTATATATACAATATATAAAACAATTATTATTGGCTTAGCATTTAGACATTATTTTTATATTAAATTTAGTTTTTATGTTGCTACTGCTTTGTTAATCAATAAATCATCTTATTTGCAGATTCAAGATAACAGAGAATTCTTAATATATGGATTTAATATAAAATTACATTTTATTTTATAAGAAATGTTGTACAAAACATATGTGATTCTTTTGTTTTTTTTAAATAGAAATTTTATATTAGGTGTTGGAATTAATTCGTAGCGTTTTTTAATGAAAGAATGTTATTTATTTCACATGAGCATTAAAAAATACATTAATGAAAGTACTTCCCATCACTTGTAAAACGCTACGAATTAATTCCAACACCTAATATTATTTTTATACTGTATAGAATAATTAGAGAAATGAATTCTAATATTTATTTGTGGTTTTATGTTCCTTTTTTATATTATTTCTAATACTTTAGTGTATTTTTTTATGTGTTTACGTATATTTTTATTAAAACATTGGATTTTTATCCACACATACAAATATATATAGTGTTTGGGAGTTATATATCTTAAGATAAATACTCCACCTTAATAAAACATAGAGCTTTATTCATAGTACACTCAACAAATAGTGGTGAAAGAGAGTACACTTGTAATTTCATAACTCTACTGGGTCACAATTCTTTTTTCTAACAATACTCTATTACCTTAATTAAGTGTTCAAGTAAGTATATATATATATATATATATATATATATATATATAAAATGCGCGTGTCGGGATAAAAGTTAACAATTATTTTAATAAATTCACCTTGATCCACTCTCAAATTGTTGTGGTCCTTGTATTAAAAAACTTTTAATAAAGAGTTTATCGTTACTTATTCTAAGTATGCATTTTTACACATTAGCATTAATACTTGTCCATAGTCTAACAATAATAAGAAGTAGATATGCTATTTTTTACGTCAAGAAAAAGTGTTTCTCTGAACTAATTGTTGAATTTTATATACATTACATAAACTATAGATATACAAATGTAATATAAAGTGACGTAATTGCACTTTCTTAATACTCTGATATACCCACAGTAAAGCTAAAATAGAGAAATAAAATTTTTAACTGAACTAACTAAATTGACATACGAAACACATGAATTGTTTTTTCGGACAATTAAAATATAATAAAAATCTGTCTTAAAATCTATCTATCTCTTTGAAGAAATTTTAGTTGATTCTATCTTGAATTTGAACAATTTTATTATAAAATTTTTAAAAAATTAAAAATTAAAAAATAGAGAATTAGATTAAAAAGTTATTAAAGATAAAACTGTGAAATATTTTACATTTATTTAATAATCTCATGTAATTTACCTCAAAGATCTCATAAATGATAGAATCTTATTATTAGCATTTTTGTTCGAAAGATTTTACATATTAAAATAATATTAAGATCAATATTTTTGTAACAATGCAGTTATCAAACGGAATTATACTCCCAAATATTATATATTCCATAGCATAAAGTATATATGTTTTATAAAAAAAACATATGTTTAATAACTTGTGCATATTATCATACACTTTTATTATATAATCTGTTTATGGAAATTTTTCTTTGTACAATATTATTTTCATAGTGAAATGCCTCACTCGAAACGTGCAACAATTTGTAGAGGTACAAAAAATAATATGTTACCTAACTATAGATCAAGATTATACAAAACATTGCTTTCACGTACGTCATTATCAATTCTGAAAGTATGATTTGGTTATCGTTTCCTATATAATTTTCAGTCATCATACAGCGTCTTACATTGTCGCACTTTCATAAAAAATACGAACCTTATAACAATTAAAACAGTATTGTGAAAGTATATTACGCTTCAAGGACATTTCTAAATACATACATCTCAAAAATTGATTAGCATTTTTTGTACACAAAATTTTGATTTTCATACATTAATTAGTTACATTGTCGGCGAATATATTGTAAAATTGTTGACTAAACTATGCTTATATAATACAATTTTTTATTATAATAATTGTTTAATTAATACGATATACAATTATAGCGTAGTATTAACGATCGTTAATCAGCGATCATGTATCAGAATAATCAATATTATAGTGATATACTTCTTTAGACATGAAAGTTTTATACTTTTGCGGAGCCTTAAGATAACATATATGAGTTCAGAAAATTTATTTTTGCATTAAAATGATTTAACACATTTTGCATATTAAGAGCCAGCATTATCGAGATTGCAAGAATAATGTTTTATCATTTTATCATTAAGATACTTCAAATGTAAACGCGTTCAAGTAATAATTGAAAGATTTTTCATAAAACCTTAAAGTCTAGAAAGTTAAATTTTTAGTAAACAAAACAATATTTCTTCTTCAAACCAATTGTTGTATAAATAATAATTTTTTATCAAGCATACATAAATATAAAAATAAAATTCTAAATTCTGATTAACATTTTGAGAAAAAAATTAAAAATTTCCCAAAAAATAAAAAATTTCCCAAAGAGCCTCTGAATTTATTTGATTCTTGCAGAAATTTTACATTAATTAATCATTTAGCCACAATAGTGTAAATTTACCTTTTTTTATAACATTAATAATTATAAATGTAAAAGAGGAAATACTCTAAAAAATATTTAAAGTATAAAATAATAACTTTTTCACCTTTTATTTACGAAGTTTTACAAATTACTCTTAAAACATTCTTTGCAAATGTTAAACTCTCATAGTTTCCATTTTCTGTCTTCTTCTTGTTAGAACAAGATTATATCATGCTATCAATGGAGAATGATTTGGCGCTTTAATTCAAATTTTTTTAATGGACTTATTTAGTTTTGTAGAAAATTCTTTAATTGTTACATTCCAGAACTGATATTAAAATATTATAATATAACTGTGGGAAGTAGAAGTTTACGCGGTAATTAGTGCGTTAATATAATAATAGACATTCAATTTCTATTGTCTTTTTGATTTAAACATACATATAATATCGTACGCGGTTCGACTTGATTTAAGTCGTCATTCTCAACAAAATACATAAATAAATATTGTATAAGCAACTGACACGTCAACCACATGTTTGAAATGAGAAATATTGAACATAATTGACATAAATTTTCCATTATTTTAATATTTGAAGAACGCTATTTTTATAATACTATTAGGTGTTGGAATTAATTCGTAGCGTTTTTAATGAAAGAATGTTATTTATTTCACATGAGCATTAAAAAATACATTAATGAAAGTACTTCCCATCACTTGTAAAACGCTACGAATTAATTCCAACACCTAATATATTCATTGTGGTGACTACTGAATGTTTGTATAATCTGTTTGCAATTTGGTGAGTGACTATTCGTGCTCCTTTTTTGTGTACATATAATCTTATCATAGATAGTTATTCAATTCTTATGTTTTATAGCCTGTCTCATTGGAACTTGCTATGTCATCTGAATCAATAACCATGATAGAACACAAGAAAACATCGCAGTAAGACGGATGATTAGCACCAGGATTGCACAGATTGCAGGATAGTCTTATACTTTATTTATGTATTTCATTGAGAATTATTTAGATTAAGTCGAAACGTGCAATATTATATGTATGTCTAAATCGAAGAGATAATAGAAATTAAATGTCTATTATTATATTAACGTACTAATTATTGCGTAGACTCCTATTTCCCATTTATAGTACTTTAATTTGTTTAATTATAGGAGTCTGATTCTATTATATTGATAGTATTATTGTCGAAAAGTGTTTACAGTACAACAGCGTACTTTTGCCTTTTAATTTTGTCATCTGGAAAATAGGATGTGTGTGTGTGTGTGTGTGTGTGTTATATATATTTGATGAATAACAATTTTGATTTTATTAGTGAAAGAAAAATCAATTTATGTATCAACTTAAAATAAATTTCACAATTCCACATATCTATTTATTATAAACACAACAATTTATTTTACATATATTTTTCAAATATTGAAACGTTAAATGCATTTTAACAATCTTAATTGCAATTGTAATATAAAAAATATGCTTTTCAAGTTACATGAAAAAATTATTACAGATTGAGCATATTTTTTTCTAATTTGTTTTCACAAAGTAAAATATACGTATATGTGTCCGTGCGTTTGCACTGAAATCATATTTTTTTCAAAAATATTCAGAGATCTCATTTATAAAGATGGTAACTGAACTCATATATGTGAACATTATGATATGTCAACTTAATATTTCGTTAAGTAGAAGATATATAATATATTAAATAAATCTAATATACGTATAAATATGAAGCACGTTATTCTGGATGGTCAAATTATTATTCATGTTTAATGGTGTGCGTGATTAATTTAGTGCAAATTAAAAGAAAAACATTTTTTTCATCTGAGAAAAATTTCAAGAAAGAAATTTCGACGCATAAATTAATGAATAATTTACATTAATTAATGAATGAACTTGCCAATTAATATCATTTTTTCATTAATTTGACGATGTAAGTAAAAACGTATGAACAAAATTTCGTTAAGTAATAAAAATTGTGAACTCATTAAAAGAGTATTGCGAAAAAATTAAATTGTTAAGGATCGCACCCTATATTTTTGCTATTCAAGCTGATATCAAGTCGATTAGTTCATTCGACCATCTGAGAAACAACATGTCCTATAATATACAATGTTTGAATAACGCCTGTGTGCTGAGAATGTAAGTACGAGCTGTAATGATACAGAATACATTCTAGTGAGGTCTGAATGACGAAGCGATGAAGTTCATGCCGTTATTAGGCCTTCAACGCATCATTTGATCGAGTACGTACTTTAAAAAACGTATCAAACATAGTTTTTTTTACAGACCTTCTCTGCTTAATTTCACGACGTTTCCCCTCGCGCCACTCCCTCACACCTCTCCTCCTTCGTTCTCCTCGCCTCCTCCCCTCTCCTCCCGCCTTCCCTCCCTCCTCCTCCCTCCTCCTTCCTCAACAATCGTACGCTGCTATGTACACTCTCTAAACGCTCATATTACATATCGTACACAAATTATGTACACGTGACAAAATATTTACAAATGTGAGGCAAGTGGTATACAGCGTCTAGATTGTCATCACTATCCCGTGTTCCAATCATGATGATATTTGAAAGCATTCGTCCAGGAAGTTTTCTAATGAGTGGTATAGATGCGCTCGCGACTGGACGATACCATGATCTTCATCCGTATACGTCTGCAAAAGCAAAAGATTTGCGATATACTTAAATATAATTTTTAATTTAATCTTTCTGTTAAGAATGGGGACGTACCTGTTGTCTGAAGAGTATGTCTTTCTGCTCCAACACCTTCGCGAGCATAAGTGACTGTTGATAATGAACGTTGTCATCCAGAGTGCCATGAATCAAATAATACATCTTATTCTTGATGTTCTCGACTTTATTGAGCAGCTGACCATGTTCATAGCCTTGCAGATTATCGGTAACTCAGTATAAATCGAATCTGTAATTAAACAATTAACATGATCACATTAACAGGGATAGCGTATGATAAAAAAAGGGTGAAAAAGAAACGATCTATGCCATTATGTGGCGTGTAATATCTTATGAAGAAATTGCACAAGTGTAACGCCGCATAAGTCTTTTTAACGTCATCCTGTAAATCACGTATATTTTTCTCGCGTGTTCTAACAGAAGGAGGTAAATGCTGACACGAATTTAAAGTAGTTGAAAAAGTAATATTAAAGTTGCAGGAGCGCGTCCTTTCCATGCACACTTTTCTCCATTAAAACGGTGCGTAAAAAATTCTTAGACAAATCCTGAGGCCAAATGAGCTTAACATAAGTTACTTTATGTAAGCTACATTCTCCGTAAGTAAAGTCTCTTAACAATGTTCATTTATTCGAATGATATCAAGCTGGAAAAATATTGCTTCATGCACTGTTAATGTCGCACTAATATCGGAAAATAAAGATTAAATACTCCAATTTAAATTAATTATTTTTTCTACCTTATATGTTTAAAATAATTTAAAATAAGCAGAATATGTAAAACAAATTATTTAATGAAGATTAAATTCAGTATAGAGATAAGATACAGAAATTTCATTAATTTAGTGTAACTACCATTTCCTAATTTAATTTTCAATTATTTATTATAGCTATTTTAATTTTTATTTATTTATTAGAAAAAGCTTTAAGTTTTAGCTAAATAGATGAACTTTTTTGTAACTTTAATTCTAACGTTACGAAAATCTTCTTTTCTATCCTTATTGATAAAAAATATTTTCTAATTTTTGCGCTAATTATAAAACACGGTATATTTTATTCGTTCATCAAGATCATTTGCTTTTCCTACTTCTTATTCTTCTGCATTGTCTATTTCTTATTAACACAAACTAACTCCGTTATGTTATCGCGTAGTGTAATTTAATAATTTACATGGAATATTTATTCTGTCGCAAGATAATTTTGATTTACGATGCTAAAACATTTTCCTTTTCTTTGAAATAATATTTCTTTGAATATCAAACACTTTTACGTGTTGCGTCATTAATTCTATCAATTACATACCATAAAGGGCCCAATCTGTGACTGGTGCGACGGACATGCCGCATTTGAAGACGCCTTTTAAGTCCATAGCGAGCGTCATGCCGGTCGCGTATCCACCATAACTCCAGCCCCATATCGCCGTTCTGGTACGGTCAATGAAGAGCAATTTGTCCTGCAGATACCTGCAAAAAGCACAGAAAAGTTCAAATCAATATCACTGAAAATACGATGTTGATAAATCATATAGCTAAAATATATCATCTCCACTGTTTCTCACGAAATTGATTAAACATTTTAAAGATAAAAGTATCTATGGCACATAGCATAAAAAAAAGAGAAAAAGAGCAGATATATAAAAGCAGATTTTTATATGTAATTTGTGTATTATTAAAAGAATACGAATAACGACATATTCCCAAATTATAAACTTCTGGACTCTTCATAATCGCGTGATACAGATTACTAAAGTCATCTATTGGAAAAATAATGGATTTCTTTTTACTACATCTAATATAATACTTTACTACGGACCAGTACTAGACTTTCCGTTTATGCTACGCCGGCTTGTACAGACCGGCGCTCAACGCTTTATTTATATTTTATCTTTTGTTTACACTTTAGTTCACGCATAAGTGTCTGAATGGTACTGTCTTGCATAAACGGAAAGTGAAACAAAATAAGCTTGACAATTAACGTGTTAAAACTTAATCAATTTCATGAATTACAAATTGTAGTAAAAAGCAATTGCAAGTTTCTAATTGACGACAATTTTTTTCATCTTTAATCCTAATATTACAAAAATCTTTATTTTTATTAAATATAATGTCGTATATTAATATAACTGTCGTATATAACTGTCGTATCATATCTGTTTTATTCCGTGTCTCACAATAAACGCAACAAAATTTTTCGAAAATATTTTCCATCTTTTGCGTTTATTGTAAGACACGGTATGAAATAGATATGATGTATGTATAGACAATATATGTATCTTTGCGAAAGTATCTTTGCGAAAATGAAGATCTTTCTATTTACTTTGGAAATAACATCAAAAGAAATGCTTTCTTTGTTGCCATTTAAAAACATCGTGCAGGAACCATCGCCCTACAAGATTACCTTGAATTACTCTCTTTTGCTGCAGCGTTCAAAAAAAACAATCGCCTCTTTCATTGAAGCGTACAAGATAGTCGATAGCTTTGCGCGATGAATATTTTGTAATTTCTGTTTTTTTCTCTTCCCGGATCTTCTATTATTTCACGTGCACTCTTCGCAATTGTACGTGCTAACAATCTGCCTCGTATTAAAAAAACATATTATGGCACACTATCGCCTTTCATGAATCGTGTGTCACGCAACTACAATTTTCCATAATAATGCAGTTATAATTATCGAAACTTTGCAGAAAATCTAATTCCGTAGCAGCTTAATAATTTTATTAAATTATTTTTACATTAAACTCTTTCAGAAAATTGTTGAATAACACTAGTTTACCAAAAAATGTGTTTTTAGACATATAAAAATATTTTAAAGACAAATTAAATTTTAAATGCAATATATTACATGTGTGACAAGATTTAAACAACAATGTTCATATTTTAATTCAACAGGAAAACAAATACTCCAGAAAGCTTCACTTTAATGACTTTTCCAATTACCAACAGATTCGGTATTGCGAATTAAAGAAAATTTGAAAAAGTGGTGTTTCTTTACAATATCCTTAGAAAAAGATCAACTCCAATTTGCATAAAAAACTTACAGACGAAAAAAGCAAATGTTACTTATAGGACAACTCGTGTATTTCTCAAACGTCTGCCAGATTGAGCGCTGCGTGAACCGCATCTCACCTCATGATTTCTGGGGACTTGAACCCAAGTGAATTCCATGCACAAAGCGCTGCGTATTAAACCTCTCGCAGTCAAGGAAAAAAAAGGGAAGAATTCGTATTTTTTTCCTTCCAATCTTTTCAGATTATTGTCTTTGTACTTTCGTGTGTTCGATAATAATCCCCGGCCCCGGCGCAGCGTGGTGGGATTAGCGCCCACGCCAGCCGGCCAGCCAGTCAACCGCTCATAGAAATAGTAAACGGCGATACGCGACAGATTTCGTTTTCTCCTTCCTCCGTTCACTCTCAGTGAAATTTATTTACCTCGTAAATCGACCGATGGTACGTTGAATTATATTTCTTTCTATGAAAAAAAAGAAACGAGAGAAAAAAAACAGAGAGAAAAGAGGAAGAAATTCAGACCGAGACACTTTCATTATGTGGCTCGCCCTGTTACTTATACTCTAGGATGCGTATTTCGGCACAAAATATATAGTGTGCCCGATGAATATAAAAATTTTTTTAATAAATTAAAATAAAGGACTCTTATTAACTAATAATATTGTAATATCAAAAAAATAGAAGGACATATAAGAATCAAATTTAAACAATATATTAATGTATATAATATAAACCGTTTAATAAAATGTGTACATTCTTAATTAATTACTGTAAGATATACATTTGGTAATATTACATTACATTCAATTACATGTTTCGGCATTATGATTGTGCCGTTGTCATATACAAAACACGCAGTAAAAAAACGCAATAAAAAGTCAATTAAGTTTTACTAGTCGCTAATAAAATCCACACGTGAGTCAGTTGGAACACGATGAATAGCAAAGTAAAGAAAACGAAATTGCTCGCAAGCGGTTGGAAGATCGGTTGTTAGAGAATTTCCACGAATTTGTTATAAGGTACATTATTAGAGAAAAAAGATCAGCAAGCAAATTCATCACTCAGTTAAAAATTCATCGAGATCGCAATGTAATTATCCTCCATGATATAGATAGAATGTTCGTCAAGTTGATTATACCAATCAATATTATTACAAAGTAATTAGTATATAACTTTGTAATAATATGTATAGTATGTTGTATAGTATACTTTGTAATAATATGTATCTCCATATGAATAGAGAAATGTAAAATTTTTTTAAAAATCATCTATCTAAATGACAACGCCACCCAATAATACCATCTTATGTCCCCCTCGGAGTCATCAAACTTTTGTCTGAAACACTTTTTGATTTAACGCAGCGTTTCTGAAATATTTGAGTGGATTTTTTACCTTATATAATCTTAGCTGCAATGTCATATTTTTTTAATAATAGGTATATACTAGAGGTGTTCCGAAAAAAGAGTTCAAAAATATCGGGAACTCAATGATCGGGACAGGTCGGGAAGACATCGGTTCAAATCGGATCAGATCTCGAAAATATCGGGGATTCTCGACAGAGTCAAGATTCTTGAAAATGTCCAAAATTCCTGAGGGAGTTGAGATTCTCGATAAAGTCGAGATTCCCGAAAGAATTTATATCCTCGAAAATTTCGACAACCCGATTGCTACTTTCGAAAAGGCATAAAAAATTAAAAATTCGAAAGAATTTATTAAAATTTATTAAAACGAGTCTCGAAACGGTAATTAAATTTTCAGGAAAAGTGACAAACTCGAGAATATTGAATCCATCGAGAATCTTGATTCTTTCGAGAATTTCGATTTTTTCGAGAATTCCAACTCTATCGAAAATCCCGAATATTCTCGAGAATCCTGACTTTGTCGGAAATCCTGAAAGCTTCGGGATTTCCTGATCCTGACAAAAATTCCCGACTCGACTCGATCTATTCGGATTCTCGCACATCTCTAGTATACGCTTTGTAAAGACCTTCTGTATTTGTCTGTAAATTGAGTGTATTTTTGTATCTGTTTTTTTTTATGTTATTTTTATGTTTTTTAATATTTCACATTTCGGAAATTAGTTTAATATATGTTCTTAATCAGAATTATGATATTCATCTAATTAAAGTCATGTCTAAATTGCAATCTATGGTTCATTTCTAGTAAACAAGAAACGTTTTGAAACTTCAGCAACAGCACAGCAACGTTGTAACATTGCTGAAATATTTCAAAACGTTTCTTGTTTACTGGATTATCACAGAGCGAGTAGACGTATTCTAACAAATATGATGTGCAGCATTCTACAATTCTGGTTTTTAATTGTCTGCCGTCTGTCCCACGTATGTGGCATCACAATCTAAACACTTGACTTTATAAATGACGTTGTTCTTAGAAGAAGGAGAACAAGAATCTTTTTGTACCTTAATAAATTTCCGTAGTTTATTGGTGTTGTAAAACAAAATTTTAGTGTCTTTGATATTAAATTGTCTAAATTTTTTGGTAATAGAAAGTATAAATGGAATTGTGAACCAAGAAATTCTGTCAGATGAATTCTCATTGCTGGAATGAACCTGCAGTTTCTCTTAGGAGACTTTAGATTTTTTTGTTAATGATATTAAAAATAAAATTGAGCAAATAATCGTTCTCAAGTAATATATTAATTACAAATTTTAAGTTTGGTAAATATCGACAATAGGGGACCCAGCTCGGATGACCTTGACCTTGGTATATATTGTCAAGGTCATGACCATGAGTGACCTTGAGATGGTTTTAGTTGGTACTTGTTCTTGGTTTAAAAGTTATCAACAAAAAAGTTTGAAAAAATAATAGTTTATTCCTGCTTTATGCAATATTAAAAGCTATTCTATACTCTTCCTTGCTACGTAATGTACCATGAAAAATATAAAAAAGTCTATCAGAGCCTACATCGGCTGTCCGGATGCACAGAAAACTTTATTCTCGTGTGATTGTAACAAAACGAATTAAATAGACATCTCAACCCTTCAATTTGGATTATCAATATATGTACAATCTGCTCCACAAGAGTGTACAGTTCCGCATCTCAACAAATGGCGCACAGATGTAAACTTCGATTTTTCCGATTCTCTGAATAGTTCGGAAGAATGCTTTCAGGTTATATGGGTATTGTGACTTGTTTTATCTGTAACAGACCAAAATAAACACAATGAGTGCTGCGTATGCAAGTCGTTTTGAAGTAGTATTTCTTTGCACACATTCGAAAGGATCGAAAATGTCATATGCAGCTGCCGGCCGCTACATGAAAAAGTCAGAGAGATTCGTTAGGAAGTGAAATGTTATAACAAAACAAAAAGTGTTGACGATCTGCCAGAACGTGGCACTCGACGCTCAAGAACGAAAAAGGACGACAAAGCTATCATCAAGATATTTGAGAAGAATCCTGCGTGTTCATTATGGAGAGCGAAATTCTTTTATTGAAAA